CCGCCCCGCTCCCCTTCCCTTTCACCCTGCAGATCACGAAGCTGAAGATCGACAGGAATCCCTTCGCCAAAGGTTTTCGGGACCCCGGCAGGAACAGGTAAGGGCCGGGGCCGCCCCTTCGCCGCCCCCCACGCCCGCCGGCCCCGCGGCTCCGTTCAAGGCGCTCTCGCCCCGCAGGGGGGTCCTGGACGGGCTCCTGGAGACCTACCCGTGGAGAGCCCCCCTCGCCCTGGACTTCAAGGCTTTCGGCGCAGACAGCCAGGGTAAGTGAATCCCGCTCGCTGCCTCGCCCGGAGCTCCCCGAGGGGCTCCTCAAATCATCAAAGATTACGATGTTCGTCCAGAAAACGAATCCCTGCATTTTGAGGGAGTTCATTCCGCGCTGGTTTGGATAAAATTCCTGTGCAAGTGGATGCGAGAAGCCGGGAAGGACAGGATGAGGGCGCGGGCTGCTCCAGCCCCCGGCTGAAACCAGGGTTAGATGGGCAGAAAAAAATATCTGAGTGTGCAGGGGGATAATTTGGAGTCGGGTTGTTCCGGCTTTGATCCTGTTACACTAATTGCTTCCAACCGGGTTGGGAATATCAACTACAAACGTGGAAGCGGCGACCGCCTGTGCTTTCTGCAGCGGCAGCTTCTGCGCCGACAAATGCGTTATGCAACAGAAAATAAAATTATCTGGTATTTAGGATGCTGCAGTCGCACAGAAATACAGAGAAGATGAGGAAAAATTTTGGGGGAAAACGCTCTCCTTCATCCTGACAAGAGCAACCGGTCCTTTACAGCCCTTTCCCAGAAAAACGGCTTCAGAAAGTAATATTTGAAAACATTCTTAGCGCCGAAGGGAAAAAAACTAACAGCTCGTTTGCACATTGGAGCCCTTCAAGTTGCGTTTAAAGCCGCGAGTTAAACTCGTGTATATCAGGAATTCTTTAAAGTCTTGGGACGCACCAAGTCACCCCTGTATCTGCTGGAAAATGCTGCAAAAATCACAGCAAAAATTCATGTTCTGCAGGTGTAGAAATGAGGGCACAAAGAAATCAGATTCGAGAGAAATTAAGAGGTTTATCAGTCGTAAGGAGAACTAAAATGATTATCACTAGTTGTTGGTAGTAGTAGTAGCAGCTTTATTAATATTATTAATAGGGTTTTTATTAATTTTATATTTAGAAAATAATTTATGCAAAAAGCCCCTTTTGAACCCGTTTGCCAGGGGGAGGAGGTGGTGGATGAGCTGCATGAGGAATGAAACAACAGCAACTGCAATGTTAAAGACCCTACAATATATGTACATATAATATTAGAGCTACTTAGGATTTTTAGATTTTTTTTATTTTTTAATGTATTTGGTATTTTTCTTCTGGGTGGAATTCTTGGACTGATATAAATATAACAAAATCTGCAGTTCTACTACTAATAAAATAGATTCCTAAAGAAATGCTGTAAAACTGAAATCCCAAAGCTTTAAAACCAGGAGGTAAATTAAAAGAAATTATGATCATCAAGCTGAAGAAAGAATTTGCAGCAAAAATTTTTATTTTTAAGGCTAATAGAAAGGGCAGAAAACATCTGCTCATTGATCTGCTTCATCGTTTCTGCTGGAGTCCCCATTCCCAAACTCGCTGTGGGATATTTTTTGCTCGGGATACCATGCAGCAGATACTGACCCTTCTTTGCTCTGCTGCATCCAACCACGCAGGGCTTCTCTCGCTGCCTCACACACAAATATCAGCTCAGTTCCATATTTTACATGACCCAAAGTCCCTGAGCTCTGGAGGACATCGGGATATGTCCATGGAGAGAGGACTGGATCCTGCCCTGCTGATATCAGAGCACTGTCAGCAGCCACTGACATCAGCAGGGAAGGGTGAGACCTTCACGCCACAAAACCTTCCCGGATTATTGTGATCCAGGGCTGACCTGTGAGAGGCTCTGCTTGTTGGGAGTTTGGAAATTAATTCCCATCACATTCAAAATCTTTGTGTTTTAAGGTTTAAGAATTTTTTATACCAGCAGATGTAGTTCAGTTTTACAGTTGATTTCGGGTCGCCGGTTGCGTGTCGAGTGGGATCAGATCCCAGCCAGGCATTGCATTGGTTGCAATTGAATGTAAATAGTAGCACAAATGGATCCACATTCCTTTACATCCTTTCCCAGTGATTTCAGTAAGAAATCAAAATAAAGGAAGGGGGAAAACCCCTCTGGAAGAATCTGGTAATGAGTGTGCAGTGGACATTTGGCTCTCCACAGGCGGGAGATGAAACCAGCATCTGTGTAGCACCAGGGCCGACTGCTCCCCAGCACCATTCCCACCTCAGAGCAGCCATCCCGTCCCTGCTTCATTTTTACTCCTTGGGGTTGCTTTTCTCCTGAATTCTGAAAGTGTTCATTCATCCCCTCCAGAAAGTAGGACGTTCACATGACTTGTGAGTTTGAATTTCTGGAGACACCGATAGCATTCAGGGGAATGTTTCAAATTGCTTGGGAAGCCAAGTGAAATGAGTCAATTCCTGTGAGCAGGAAGGTACAAAAAAAATTCTCCATCGGGCTGAATATGCTTTTTTGTTCTTATACCCAAGGGGAAAAAAGCTGTCTGGAATTTGCATGAAAAATAGGGAACGTGAAATGGCAATGGTGCGTGTATAGCAAGGGAGGGTTATCGGTCGTGCAGCCAGGTATGGATCCAGGTATGTGTGGAGCTGTGTTTACCATGATCCCAGTCCAAGGGATGGGATCAGGCACGTGTGAATGCTGTTGTTAGACATATAGCAGCTAACAATAACCATTTGTGGATAGATCTTCCCGTTTTCCAGGAGCTGGTCTTTGGAGAGGATTCGTGTTTGGATGGACACCGGCAGGAGGGAGACCTGGACTGGGAGCAGGAGTCCTCCAAGGATTGCTGAGCTGTGGACACCAGTTAGCCCAGCCTGGATGATTTCTGTTTTCCTTTCCAGGTGGGAGCTCCAGCTCTTCTCCAGTGGCCTCCAGCGGTGGGACCCCCTCTCCGCTGAACCCCCTGCTCTCTCCATCGTGCTCTCCTCCCACGCTTCACTTGCCCGCGAGCAACCTGGGCATGTCGTGCCCCGAGAGCTTCCTGCACCCCCTCAACCTGCCCCTCTACTACAAGATCTGCCCTACGAGCTTCTTGAGACAACAGGCACTCCTCTTTCCGAGCCATGAAAAACTGGGAGCCACCAACCCACACCTTTTACCCCACTTCATGGTGGATATGCCCAAACTGTCTTCCCTGAAAAACGCCAAAGCCGAAGACTTAAACGCTCAGTGCCTACAAGCCCCCGGTTCTGCTGGTCAAATGCTGTATGGATTACATGCATCTGGAAACATTTTCCCATCAAGTCCCATTGCTCGGGAAGCACTTAATTGTTCTTTACATCCTCCATATGGCTTGTATGGTTATAACTTCTCTGTGCCATCCAGACTGATGAATGCAGCAGGGCATTTCAAAGTGAGTGACAGCATTCCGGCTGCTTTGAGGGAAGGCAGATGCAATCACTCCAACTGGCACCCCACAATTAACCACTGCCTTTAGTGGGATCAGAGAATATTTCTGAGCTATGTAAAGCAAGTCCTTCCTTCCTCCATACCCAGGGGCTTGTTAGTTATTGACTCTGAAACACTGCATGATACAGGAGTGGGATGGGCAGGCATTTAATCCTTTTTTTTTGTGGGCAGAAGTGTTGCATTGTGTTGTTGGGAGGGTGGAGGATCTGGAGGGTCTGAGATGACCCTGAGGTGATACCTTTTGGCCACATTTATGTCACAGTTGTAGGTTAAGAGCAAACTGTCAGTCACCTTTTTACTATTTGCACTCTCAAGTGGGGCCATTGATGTCTGTGTTTCTACAACTCTGTTTTCTCTCTCTCTTGCCTTCAGATAGCTCAGAGCCCTGGGGAGCTGCTGCTCCCACTCAAGTTTTATCCCTAAATTTCAAAGGGACTGTCCAGGACATGGACTTGGCAAAGGAGCCACATCTAACCAAGTGCTCGAGCTTGTTCTTAATTTCCCTTGGCTCTAATGGGTCCTAATTAATGACACGAATGTCCCTCTTCTTCAAGACCCAGATGCCTCTGTTATCAGGGTGGGGACATAAATCCAAGTATCTGGTGCCAGGTAAAGAAAAGCAGGATGAAAGATGGATGAGGATGAGAAGCTGGAGGGGAGACCCAGAGCCCTTTTTCCATGCCCCACCCTCCAGTGGCACCAGCCTTGATGGCGTGGTGGGAAGGAAGGATGGGATCACACATCTCTCCCACAGTGGGATGGATCCATGGGGACATGGAGGATACATCTTGGAGAGTTGTGTGGGATGAAACAACCCCAGGAGCACAGCAGGACAATCCTCTGACCCAGAGCTCTCAGCCCCAAGGGACACAGAAGACCCAAGTGGGATCACATCCAGCCTTGCCTGAGGGAAGGGCAGGGATGCTCCTGGCTCAGTCCCACGGAGAACACGGATCCTTTATGGTGAATTACAACTCTACAGGCCCTGGAACATGAAATTTTCAATTCCTTCCAAAATTCCTATTTGTTTTCTTGTAACCTGTGGATATTTTTGTTTTTCCTGTAAAAAATCTCCAGCTCCCAAGGGCACCATGTAACTCATAATAAATCAGGACACAGGTTTTATTCTTTATTTGATCGATGTTCAGACTCTACCTAAAATCAAATTTATCACTTGATAGATGGCAGAGATTGGAAAATAAGGCTTGGTTGGGATCAGCCCCATTTTGGGATTAATCCTATGTTTTCAAAGCCAACACACAATATAGAGGGATTAGGTTAAGAATCAAAACTGATACCGGAGTTTTGATTTTACTTTCATCTTTAATAGACAACAAATTCAGAACAGAACAAACAATATCAAAAGCTGCTAAATTAACAAAAATTACACTTTTACTTTCATGAGACTTTGATAACATTCAGACAAAATTGGTTTCCCTCATTTTCCTGCTTTGGGTGTTCACAGAGCTCCCAGTAATGCCACTATGAAACGAGGGGTGTGAAAAATGGTCCGTACAACTGTAAAAATGAACAAACCTGCTTTATTGGGCTGTTCCTTAGCAGTTTATCTCCCTATTTTTATTGGGGGGGGGAAAAAAAAAAGAAAAAAAAAAAGCACGTTTTGTTCCTTGGGTGTCCTTGTTTCCAACATTGGTGGTGACTGAATTTCTGTGGTAACTCCAGTGCTGACCATGGCCAGCCCGTGTCCAGCTGAGTGACCACGACCCAGCCCCCACGTGTGGCTGTACTCCTGGGGAGCTGGAAGGCTCTTCCCCATCAGTCACGGATTTGTGCAATGGGGGACTTCCAATTTTCCAAATATTTGCGGTTGCATAAGATATTCCAGAGCTGCTGGCCATGAGCTATAATCCAGTAAATCAGTGTCTGGTTAAAACTGTGACTGATAGTGACTGGAGAGATATTTTGGTGCGGTGATTTGCTCTACCAGGAATGATGCTCGGCTGATTCCAGTGGAATTGAGCTGTGGGTCCCGTAGGATCCCAGGTTTCGCCATCCCCCCTCACCACAACCACATGGGAAACACACCCAGAGACCGATCCCTGCAAGGTCTGAGCATGTCCCAGGGTTGTCACACTTTGGGAGGATGCTCGTCAGGCAGATCCAGAAATAACAATTTGTCTGTACAAGAGGTCGGCACAGCATAAGAGGAGCTGCTTGATCCAGGTTATCTGAGGGTTATTTCTATTTCCTTTGCCTTTCACCTCTTGGTTTTATCCTTCCAAAAATCAATCTAAGAAATAAAAAGGATGTGGGTGGAGTTTTCAGGCAGTCATAGCTCTCTGTCCTGTGCCACTGCCACCAAGGGCACCTCAGAGCAGACCAAGCTCCCTGGCCCTTCTGGCACAGAAATATTTTCCATATTCACAACAGTGACTCAGCTGATTCACTCACACTAGAAAATAGATGTGTTTGCCTAGACATTAAATGAAATGTGCCCCAAAAAGCAGCTAACCTGCACTCTACACTCTCAGGGTCCCTTGTAAAACAGCTACTAGTAGGTGAGTGGCAGAACTCTAGAGAATAAATCAGATTAATCAATATGATTTATTAAATGTGAAACTGGGCGAACCAAGGTCGATATTTCAAGCAAGCCCATGTCAATACAATTCCATCTTGTGCTGATTTGTGTTTTCTCCCACAAATATTATTGGAAAACTCTTGGCCATTTCAAAGTTCACAATTCTTTGTGGGCTTAGTGAGCAAACACAAACAGCACCTCAGGACTACAGTGCTATTTTTAAATGGGATCAGGGAGAAAAAATCAAAGAGATTGTTTTTAAGGATGGAACTTGCTGAACAATCTCAGCTATTAGTCATTTGACCTTTCCCAAGAGAAGTTTGAAGTTATTTGGGAGTATCTGAGCCTGTTTATAGCACTCAGCAAGTAAAAGTGGCCGTTCCAGAGGTGCTGTGTCCACACCCAATGCCAGGACATTGGATGGGCTCAGTGCTCAGACACGGGGGTGGATTTAAAATCTAAGGAGACAAAATATACCCGGCAATAATATTTTTAATCAAAGTGCAGTTTGCTCTCTGGTTTCACACAAATTTAATCCATCTATTGGAGAAGCCAAAGGCGTAGAGGGAGCATCAGATGTCGCTTTTTGCGATGGAAGTGCCTCGGTTTACATTTGATCTGCTGAGGTTGGGGCTGTAATTAGATGATAATTTGTATCACAATTATGCAAAGCAAATGAGGATTGGATAGCAAGATAGAGCAGAACAAATAAGCACCCAGACCATTTGAAATGCATCCAGTATGGAAACCATGTCCATGTGTGGCTGGGGCCGGGGACATGTTGTTCCAATAAAGCTGCAGAAAGGGAAAAGGCCGGGATCGGTTCCTCCAAAAGTTTCAAATGTTCATGTTTACAAATTTGTATTGCACATTAATATGTAAACACAGCCTATTGGAAACAGATGAGGCCACAATATTTACGTGTCCTTTCCTCTTCGTTTTGGGTGTCTGGTTGTCCCCCAGAACACACAACATCTGTGTTCAAAACTCAGCTCAGGAAGCTAAAAAGAGAGGTTCAGATAATTATAAAATCCCTGGTGCCGTGGTGGCTCTCCCATCCCAGATGGATTTTGGGTTCCGGGTGCAAGGGGATGCATTTGCAAATCCTGTGGGGTTGTGCTACGAGCACTCGGTGGCTGGAACTGCACTTTGCAGTGCCACAAGGGAAGCCTCATTCCTTGACATTTACTGGATGAATTTTATCATTTTCTTTACTGCTGTGTCACTTGGAGCCATGTCAGGAATCATGGCATTTCTTGGAACATGCAGGAACTCCATCCATGCCTACTCCATGCTCCACCAATACTGCACCCACCAGGAAAAAGAACTTCTAAAACATTAAGAATTATTTTTTATAAATTAATTTCCAAAAGGAAAAGAAAAAGCATCTTATTCACAATGTGAATAAAAGCTTTGACTTGTTAATCACCTTTTCTTTCACTGGTTTATTTGCATTTTGGGATGCAAACTCCAGGCATCCCTTTCCATGGCATCCCAGACCACCGGCCCCAAGGAGTGAATGCCGGTGGATGCAGCTGAGGATGTTGGGAATTACAGGGGCTGAGAGAACTTTTGCAGATGTTGGGAATTGCCCTGCAAGCTGTTTGTGCTTAATAGAGCTCTGGTCTCCCCATGCTCGTGGACTTTCTGAATTTTGCAGTTATTTATAAAGCCACTTCTCCGCTGTGTCCTTCTGGTGACATTCCCTAGAAGGACCTATCGTCTACTTCCATCCATCAAACCATTTCCTCCCAGACTGCTGCTCCTAAAGCACCAAGTTTTCAGTTTAATGTAGCAATTAAGTACAAGAAGGAGTCCAGGTTTTGAGAAGGACCCCTTGAGCTTATAAATCAAACGACACAAAGCAGCAAGTGAAAGTCAAGACCTTTCTGGAGAGGGAAACACCAGTGATAGGGAGAAAACTTTGGAAAAATCATTTTTGCTGCCTAAGGAGACAGATCCTGAGCAAAACCAGAGATGGGGGCAGGAGCTGAGGGTGGCTTTTGGCTCTCTGAAGTCTAAAGATATATTAGATACATTTTTGAGATATTTTCAGCTATTTTCTCTTATTTCAAAAGCCTCGCTTTTTCAGGTTTTCAGAGAAATTCACTTTTTCCTTCTTGGCACTGGCTCCAGATCTCACCTCGGAGCTGGGTCCAAGCTCCAACAATTTCCTCGGGGCCTTGCCCAGCAGCTGGGAGCACTTAGCAGCTCATCCCCCGCTCTGCTCACCTGCCTGAGGAGCCCTGACAGGTCCATCTGCTTCCAGTCAGGCCTCAAATAAAACCTGCGGCTCCCAGGGGAAGAAACGAATAAAGGACTTGTGTGGTGACTTGGAGTCACTCCTGAAATTACCCAGCTGATGCTCCAGGGATGGTTCTGCCCTCAGCTCCTGCATCCCTTCCCCATGGACCTGCAGCCTGAAACCAGCAGAAATATCCTTTTTTCAGGCAGGTTTAGATGGATATTAAACACTGAACCATGATCCTGCTGTGCCCATGTCACCTTAAGCGCTCAACCACCATCTTCCATCACACATTGCTTTAACCACCCTGTAGGTTTAAGGCAGTTTGATAAATTCTGGGTCTGGGGCAGCGTTTCATGGGTGTTTTCAATCCCAGGATGGGATTGAAGTGATCCAGGAGGATGGACTGGTTTATCCTTAACAGCAACAGCAACTATGTGCTGAGCACCTTTTAAACTTAAAAAAGAGCATAAATCCAGATACAAAGCAATGTTTCAAGTGCTAGATGGTTCATGTCCATATAATAGTGAAATATTGTTATTATTACTATTATTATTGTTATTATTATTAAATATCAAGCAATGAAATGCGAGGAGTGGAGGTTCCTGTGCCCTCCAAAGCTGTGGGGATAATTAAAGGCACCTTCAAGTGAGTCCAATAAGGTCCCACCCTCTCACAGGACTTGAGATTTGGGGCTGGAATTAGGGATTTTTCTCCCTGCAATGAAAGCATTTCATATGTCTACCCCTAGAAATATTCAACCAGTGTTTTAACACTACTGCCTGTGCACAATAAACAGATTTAATTCTACACCAGTACCTTCATTTCTTGCAGCACATCATTATGTCTGAAAATGTTAATAAACTTAAAGATGAGAACTTACAATCTTCAAAATATTTGATTATCAACAATTTTTCTTCCATGGAGGAAAATCCATGTTGAATATCCAGCTGCCCCACTCAGGACATGCAGGTACCACATGTCCCCCCTTCACTAGCAACAATTTTAGCTTCAGCCCTTTGCTGAATTCTTCCTTTATGTTTGTTAAAAGTCGTACTGTAAAATTAATCAAAGTCGATATGCTATTTCCTGTATCGTATTTCTTCTAACGTTATCAATATTGCTAATAAAAATAGAGATTGGAACAGTATGTTGTAATGTCCAGGATATAAGCCAGATCCTGCTGCAGCTCAAATAAATATGAATTTGGCCTTTGGCTTTCATAAAAGCAGGATAATGTCTCTATCTGGGCTCTTCTAACGGAAAACATCAGCCCCCTTTGCTTCGCTTCTCAGAATTCCCAGAATTTGAGAATTTAGGCTGGTAGAAGAAATACAACTCTGTGTCCTGA